GGGATAACGCATTGAACAGGGCCAATTTATCATTGAAAGAGTAAACCCTCCACTGGGATAATTAGAAACCACGGAGACTAACATTAATCACAGTCACCGAACAAACAGGTTCAGTTAACCCTTTCCTTACATCCTTACATTCCTTACTTCTTTCAATCATTTTAATTTTTCTCCTTGTATACAGGAGCAGTGTCACAACACTGAAGCGTTGTATATGTTGCACCCTGTTTACAAAAGGAGACAGGGATAAAATAACACACCAGCTGCGTAAAATGACTAGTGGTGAAATTTCTAGACACCATAAACCAGGGTAACAATATTTATTGCCCATTGACTTTGTGTAATGCTGCTCCTGTGTTTAATTTATCCTGTTATCAAATCCTTTCATAACTTTGATACATCATTCAGGGTGTTGAGACTGCTGCTCAGGAACAAGAGGAAGCGTTTCTGTCCCCATGTGCCTGGTCGACAGAGAAAAGAGGAGGTCATTCAATCCACTCTAGCCTGTTACCACTTTTGGAGGTGGAAAGCTGAAATGATGGCACATTTTGCAAAGGAAATCATTCAAAACACAAAGAATTGTAACTGCAACAATGCGAGGTCTCACTGAGTACCTGGAGTACACTGTGATTTTTGTGTTTCCATAACTGAGAAGGGACAGATATCCATCAGATACCATTTAATGGCTGCACATAATCCATAGTCTGCTGCATCATTTAATGCTTCGAGGCTGTTACACATGGACAAGAGGAGAGCACGTGGTGCTCAGCCCATTATTTAACATCAGCATGTTCACATATGGTAAAATTTTCACAGTCATGAACTCTGTTGAGATATCAATGAGTTTGCACTGAGGGAACATCCAGCACCTGTGTGTATGGGCATGGAATCACTTGTATGAGTTGTTTCACTTGACGCCAACTTGTTCACATTGATCAAAGACCTTTTCAATGTTCTGGCTGTGAGAAGGGTGTTAAAAACATGGTAATTTGTTGAGCCACAAACACATTCACAATGAGGAATAAGCCAATTACTTGCTGTGTGCTGAGAAACCAGTGAGTTTACACAGTGGAGAGCCATTCAGCTGCTCTGTGTGTAAAAAGGGACTCCCTCAGACATCTCACCCGCTGATTGACCAATGAGTTCATAAGTGATGACGGGAATTGGATTCTGCTGTTGTTGCTGTTGTAATCACATTCGGGAATGAAACAAATTAATTTAGAGAGTTGGGTATTTTTCTTTCTGAGGTTAATGACACTGTGATGTGACTGGAAGTCATTATTTTAATACAACAAATAAATCAGCTTTGTTTCAAACACAGCATGTTGTGTCCTCGGTTTCTCGAAGATTTCAGGAGCATGTTCTCTGAAATCCACTCAGGAAATGCATTTGGCAGATATTCAACAATTGAGCACAGCACGTCAAATAATTTTCAGAAATGTAGGAGAGAGGTATTTTACTCAGGCAGTTATTGTGATCTGTAATGCCCTGCCTGAAGAGGAGTGGAAGCAAATTCAACAATAACTTACAGCAGTGAATCAGATCTCTATTTTAAAGGAAGAGTCAGGGGACAGGTGAGGAGAGTGGGACTAACTGACAGCTCTTTCAAAGATGGTCATGTCACTATCAGGCAGAAGAAGGGGTGAGGCGCAACTCCTGAAGAATAACAAGGAATCGAGGAAGTTATGACGAACCTATATCAAACACAGGTCACCCTCTAACGGAGCACTGTGTCCAATTTAGGAAGAAGGTGATCGCTTTGCAGACGTTTCAAAAAAGAAAAATTGTCCAAGGCTATAGGGAAAAGCAGGGGGTAAGACGAACATTGGCATGGTCACATTGGGCTGAATGGCCTCTGTTGCAACGTAGCCATTTCATTAGTGTAATCAAGACTCTGGAAAAAGGACACGGGAGAGGACAGATTGGCAGCTTCTTCACGGATGGTCTGGAGCCACCAAAGTTCTGAAGAAGAGTCATGCTGGACTCGAAATGTAAATTCCATTTCTCCCGCCACAAAGACTGCCTGACCTATTGAGTTTCTCCAACACTTACTCATTATATTAAGATCTCCAGCAGGCACAGTGTTTTGCTTCTATATTAACTGTTTTCTAATGGGGAGGCAATGGCCTAATGGTATTATCGCTGGACTTTTAATCCAGAGAACAAGATAACATTCTGGGTACGAATCCTGCCACAGCAGATTGTGGAATTTCAATGCCATAAAAAAAAAACTAGAATTAAGAATCCAGTGATGACCATGAAACCGTTGCCAATGGTTGGGGAAAACCGAATTGGTTCACTCATGTCCTTTAGGGAAGCAAACTTCCATCCTTACCTGGCCTGGCCGACATGTGACTCCAGACCACAGCAATGTGGTTAACTCTCAACTGCCCTCGAGGCAACTAGGATGGGCAATAAATGCTGCCTAACAGCTACACCCACATCCTGTGAATGAATAAAGGAAAAAAAGATATTGCGTGCACTTTGAATTCTTTGAGTACCTTTCCAATACCCTGAGGACTTTCTGAATGTGTCAGAGGAACATTTGGAACAGAAGGAGGCCATTAAGTTCCTTAAGCTTCCTCAAACATTCAATTCAATCAGGAGTGACCCTTATTTCATCCACCTTTACCTTTGTTAAGCTCTTAACAGAAATCTAACATCTCAATTTTAAAATGTTCAATTGGCTCTCAATATCCACAACCTGCTGTGGCCGGGGATTTTACATTTCTAATTCTCCATTTTGCACTCACAATGATATTTCCTTACTCGGCTCACTGCACCCTTCCAGTGATGCTAAATATAAGCTTCAAGAAAGCACCTCATCTTTCGGTTCAGCAGTTTAAAGTTTTCTGGACTCACCATTGACACCAACATTTTCAGACTGTGAATTCTGCCCCCTATTTTGTTTTCATTTCTCTTGTTTCAGTTTGTTTGTGAGCTGCACAATTGCTCCAGGCATATCTTTTGTTACTTTGTTTCGTTTCCAGCCCCAGCTCCATTGTCTGTGGCCTCGAAGGAAGAACATTTCTGTCATTTAATCTTTCCTGTCTTCTCCCTTGTCACGGACCATCTTTTTGCATCAGTCTAACCCAAACCCCTGACTCAAAACCTATCACATTTCTTATGTTTCCCAGTCCTGATGAAAATTCACAGACCTGAAACATTAACTCTATTTCTTTCTGCACGTATATTGCCATAACTGAGATTTTTTTTTCCAACATGTTCTGTTTTCATTCCCAATTTTTGCTATTGTTTGTATGAAGATTTCACGTCATTTCCAAATAATGTCCTTTTGTACTCAAATCCCCGACCAGAGGAAATAGTTTCTATATCTATCCAATTAACACATCCAACAGATTTTGTTTAATTCCTTTTAATATGGAGAAGTATCAATTTACATTTACATTCCAGGGCGAAGAAGTGCTGCTGGATTGGTTTATAACAAGGCTTTCATTTTTTCGTCAGCAAATTTTCTGGTTATAATTCAGTTTAACCAACTGGAATGTTTAATATGGGACTTGGATGAGTAATTGCCGCTGGATACTAGACATGGAAAGACTCGTGAGGTTGCTGGGAGAACACAGAACACAGAACAGTACAGCACAGCACAGGCCCTTCGGCCCAAGATGTTGTGCCGACTTATTATCCTACTAAAATCAATCTACCCTCATACCCTACATTTTACTATCCTCCATGTGCCTATCCAAGAGTCGTTTTCAAGTCTCTAAAGTATCTGAGTCCACTACCACTGCCGGCAGCGCATTCTACACATCCAACACTCTCTGTGAAGAACCTACCTCTGAGATCTCCCCTATACCATCCTCCAAACACCTTAAAATTATGTCCCCTCATCATAGTCATTTCTGCCCCGGGAAAAAAGTCTCTGACTATCCACTCTATCTATGCCTCTCATCATCTTGTAAATTTCTATAAAACACCCCTCATCTTTCTTTGCTCTAATGAAAAAATCCCTAGCTCCCTCAACCTTTCCTCATAAGACCGGTCCCCCAGTCCAGGCAACATCCGGGTAAATCTCCTGTGCACCCTGTCTAAAGCTTCCACATCTTTCCTGTAATGAGGTGACCAGAACTGAACATAATATTCCAAGTGTGGTCTAACCAGAGTTTTATAGAGCTGAAGCATAACCTCACGGTTCATAAAGTCAATTCCCCTGCCAATGAAAGCCAACACACCATACGCCTTCTTTGCAACCCTATCAACTTGGGTCGCAACTTTGAGGGAGCTATGGACGTGGACTCCAAGATGCCTTTGATCCTCCACACTGCCAAGAATCCTGCCACTAACCCTGTATTCTGCACGCAAATTCAACCTTCCAAAATTAATCACTTCACACTTTTCTGGGTTGAATTCCATCTGCCAGTTCTTTGCTATGCTCTGCATCCTGTCAATGTCCCGTTGCAACCTACAACAGCCCTCCTTGCTGTCCACAACTCCACCAACCTTCGTGTCATTGACAAACATACTAACCCACCCTTCCACTTCCTCATCCAACTCATTTATAAAGATCACAAAGAGCAGAAGTCTCAGAACAGATCCCTGCTGCAGACCACTGGTCACCGAGCTCCAGGCTGAAGACTTTCCATCTGCTACCACCCTCTTTTGTTTCCAAAGTATAACAAAACTATACATGGCTTGGCAGATTAGGTGCAGGAATGATTATTCCCCACAGATCACCAGTTTCATTCAGCTCGATTTCACATACTACCTTTATGTTTTTGTGGGTTCTCACTCACTCATTTTGTTCTGTTTAAATCAATTTCACAGTGTATTCAAGAGTGAGGATTCGCAGTCAGGAAAATCGAATCAAACATCTCATCAAGATTTGACAAATTACTCAATTCATTGTAACTAGAATATCATTGGATTTTAACCATGGAAAAAGAAAACACCTCTGAGTGGGGACAAACTCTACACCTGTTCTCTGTGTGGTCGAGGCTTCAGCCAATCATCTGGCCTGTCTAAACACAAGCGCAGTCATGTTAGGGAGAAGCTGTGTAAATGTGGGGACTGTGGAAAGGCATTTGATTTCCCCTGTGAGCTGGAAATTCATCAGCACCGTCACACTGTGCTCCGTGTGTGAGAAGGGCCTCCCATTGTCAGCATACTTGCTGCAACACCAGCGAGTTCACACCAGGGAGAAGCCGTTCACTTGCTCTGTTTGTGAGAAGGGCTTTACTAATGTGTCCAACCTGCTGAGACACAGGCAGGTTCATAGTATTGAGAGACCTTTTAAATGTGCAGACTGTGGGAAGTGTTATAAAAGTTCCAGGGAACTGATACGCCAGTGACGTGCACACACAGATGAGAGACCATTCAAGTGCTCTCACTGTGAGACTGTATTCAAGCATTCAGCTGAACTTACTCTACATGAACGCACTCACACTGGACAGAAGCCATTCATCTGCTTCATGTGTCAGAAGAAGTTCACTCAATCATCTCGTCTTCGGTCACACCAGCGAGTTCACACTGGGGAGAGACCATATGCCTGCTCCAAGTGTGAGAAGAAATTTGCTCATTCATCCCATCTGGCGAGACACCAGCGATGTCACGAGTAGTTCTAGTGTTGGGATTTTCCTGTTAATTGCATCCAGAACTAATCCTAGTATATCAGGCTCTGTTTCTGTTGATGTTAATAAAATCCAACCAAGTTAAAGGTGCTCGTGCTCTGGGTGTCAAATAAATCAGATATGTATCAATTACACAGTGTGGTGAGTCTTTTTCGTATCAACGACAACATTGTTATTTTTGAAGGGTTCTCCCTCTCTCCTGCTTCCTCCATTCTCACTTCCAATAATAAATACAAGGAATACATGGAGCTTCTTTGTCACTAAGATTGAGACAATGTGATCGGCTCCCTATCCTGTTTCCTGCTCTCCCATTTGCACACTGGAACAAACTGCCTCAAAAGTTTTTTCTATGTCTGAACCCTGGACATGTACTCGTCTTCACTCTTCCGCCATTTCCTATCATGCCATGTTAGAGCTCACCTTGTCCAAGACTGTCACTTCCTGCTCCAATGGCGCTAGTCCCGTGAAATGTCTGACCACTGAATACCTCTATTTGCTGCATTTGTTAATGGTTGTCCTGCAGGTGCCGTCCCTTTTCCTATAAACCTGCCATATTCATGTTGCAACCCTATCATCCCTGCAAGTTACGTCTCATTTTGAACCTGCAATTCAGTCCAAAGTCCTGGAATGAATTGTTTCCACGCCATCTCTCCCAGGAGGCAATGTTTTAATCCCCCAGACATATTTCTGTCCATGCCAAATTCAGGAAAAGCCGCGCTTTGTGTCACATTCACTGTTTGATGGAGCAACATGCACTTGTATGGAAAATTGTCACGTTGCTTCGAGTTTGATATGCAAATGACACAAAACAATAAAGGGAATTCAGTGAGTTCAAATGATTTCTCATGCCTGATAATATCTATTCGGTGAACATCCATTCCGTATTATATGAAGCAGCTTTCTTCCAATTGTAGGGGCTTCCACCATGCATTAAAAACACTGCCATCCACAAGGTATTGGAGCAGGAGTAGGCCATTTTGCCCATTGAATATGCTCCACCATTTAATGAGATCATGGCAGATATGATCACCCTCAACTCCACTGTGCTGCCATTTCCTACAACCCTTAATTTCTCTACTGATTAAAAAGAAAAGGCTGTTTGTCTAAATCTAGTGAGCACAGGCCCTTGAGAGAATGAACTGGGAAAATAATAATGGGGAACATGGAAATGGCAGAAGAGTTGAATAAATACTTCACACCAGTCTTTACAATAGAAGTCACTTATAGCATTTCAAAATTGTTTTATAGCCAAAAGGCAAAGAAAACAAGGAAAGGAAATAAGTGCAATGATTACCATTGGAGATGAAGTGTTGGGAAAACTGATGGAGCTAAAGAACAATTAAGCCCCTAGATCTGTTAGGCTGCATCCTAGGATATGAAAGGAACTAGCTGCAGAAATCATGGATACACTGGTAGTCATCTTACAATAATCTTTAGAGTTTGGACAAGTCTCAGAGGATTAGAAAACTGTCAGTTTATTACCTTCATGTGGGAAAAAAAGTTAACTGTAGACCAGTTAGCTGAACATCTGTTCTTGGATAAATCTTAGAATCTATTATAATAAAAGATGTATGAGCGGAGCCAAGGATAGATCCTTGAGGGACAACCAAGTTCAGGGAATTTTGAGAGGAACATAAGAATTAGGAGCAGGAGTAGGCCATCTGGTCCGTCAAGCCTGCTCTGCCATTCAATAAGATCATGGTTGATCTTTTCATGGATTCAGCTCCACGTAACTACCCACTCACCATAACCTTCATTTCCTTTACAGTTCAAAAATCTTTGCCCTAAAATCATGCAGTGAGGTAGCCTCAAATGCTTCACTGGGCAAGGAATTACACAAATACACAATCCTTTGGGAGAAGAAGTTCCTTCTCAACTCAGTCCTAAATCTGCTCCCCCTTATTTGAGGCAATGGCCCCTAGATCTAGTTCCACCCACCCAATATACCTGTTTCTATCTTATCTGTTCCCTTCATAATTTTATAAACTCCCCTGTCATTTTTCTAAATTTCAATGAGTATAAGTCCCAGTCTACTCAATCTCCCTCATCAGCAATCTCAATTCCGGAATCAACCTCGTGAACCTCCTCTGTACGCCCTCCAGTGCCAGTATATCCTTTCTCAAGTCAGAAATCCAAAACTGTACACAGTACTCCAGGTGTGGCCTCAACAGCAGCAGATGCTGCATAACCTCCATATTTTTAAACTCCATTCTTTAACCAACGAAGGTCAGTATTCCATTTGCCTTTTTAATTGCCTGCTGCAACTGCAAACCAAATTTTTTTGGTTCGTGGACATCCAGGACATCCAGGTCCTTCTGCGCAGCAGCAATGTTTCATAATTTAAATTATAGTCCATTTTGCTGTTATTCCTCCCAAACTGGATAACCTCAACATTGTACTCCATCTGACAGACCCTTGTCCACTCTCTTAGCCTGTGTATATCGTTCTGTAGACATTCAGTGTCCTCAACACAGTTTGGTCTACCACTCATCTTGGTGTCATCTGCGAACTTTGACACATTACACTTGGTTCCCAACTCTTAATCATCTCTGAAAGGGAGGTTGGAGTTTGCAAAGATGGTAGGATGAAGAGTCAATCTTTCTCAAGAAGGTTGATGATGGTGGAATTGTCAGTGAGAGGGACAGAACCAGAAGAGAGAGACAGAGAATTGTTAACAATATCCATCACACGGGGAGAGATGGATGGTCAGCAGTTTAGTGAGAACATGGTAGAGGGACGAGGAGTTGGGTCTCATGAACAGGAGCTCTCTCAGGTTAAACCCATCACCAGTCATCTCTCCTTCTCTCTCTCCTGTGACAGCACAGCCGTATGGTTCTCTGGGACTATGGCAACTACTACCGCAGGGGAGATGCAACGCACTGCAAAAGGGACCAAATTTGATTTGAACTATTACCAAAAGACCATAAGATAAACCATTCAGTCCATCAAATTTGCTCTGCCATTCAATCATGGCTGATATGTTACTTAAAACCATTCTCCTCCCTTCTCCCCATAACCCTTCATCCCCTCACTAATCAAGAAAACATCCATTGCTGTCTGAAATACGCTTAATGACTCGGCCTGCACAGCTCTCTGTGTCAATTCACTCTGCAGATTCACGACCCTCTGTCTGAAGAAATTCCTCCTTCTCTCAGTTCTAAAGTGTCATCCCATCACTCTGAGGCCGTGCCCCCGCATCCTGGTATCCCCTTTAGTGGAAACATCTTCTCCATGTCTACTCGATCCATGTCCCTCAGTATTCTGTAAGTTTCAATCAGATTCCCATCCCCCACCCCATCCTTCTAAACTCTATCGAGAACAGAGAGTTCTCAACCATTCCTCTTATGACAAGTCCTTCATCCATGTGATTATTCTTGTAGACCGCCTGTGGACACCCTCCAACACCAGCACGTCTTTTCTTAGATACTGGGCCTAAAACTGCTCAAAAATTCCAAATGCAGTATGACCAGAGCCTCATTTAGACTCAATAGTACATCTCTGCTCCTGTTTTCCAGCTGTCTTGAAATGAATGCCTACATTGCATTTGCCTTCCTAACCACCAACTGAACCTGTACTTTAACCCGAACAGAATCCTGAACTAGAACTCTGAAGTCCCTTTGTGATTCAGATTTCTGAAGCCTTTCCCCATTTCGAATACAGTCTATGCCTCCAGCTTTCTGACCAAAATGCATAACCTCACATTTTCCCTCATTGTATTCCACCTGCCACTTCTTTGTCCACTCTCCTAGCCTGTCCAAGTCATTCTGCAATCATTCTGCTTGCTGAATATGACCCGTCTCTCCACCTATCATTGTGTCCTCTGCAAACCAAGCAACAATGCCCTCCATTCCTTTGTCCAGATTGTGAATGAATAATGTGAATAATTATGGTCCCAACACTGACCCCTGCTGATTGCCACTAGTCACTGGCTGCCATTTGAAAAAGAGCCCTGCCAGTCACTCAATCCTTAAGATTTGTGAGTACCTTGGTCCCGAAATCATGTGTTCTTACCTTATTTAGCAGCTTCTCATGTGGCACGTTGTCAAATGTCATGTGGAAGTCCAAACAGATCGCTTCCACTAGCTCTCCTTTACCTAACTTGCTCAGTACTTCCTCAAAGAATTCTACGATTTGTCAGGTATGACTTCCCCTTGAAAAAGCCGTGCCGACTCTACCAAGTACTCCGTGATCACATCCTTACAGTGTCCTGCCAAACTGTTTTTGACAAAAAGCTGATTGATGCGAGTTCAATCCAAAATATTAAAACTTTACTTTCAGTCCTGGATGTGATGAATTGCAAACTCCAATCGTTGTGGAGATGTGTGAACTCTTGAGTTTTTTTCACAGTATTTTTAACAGTCTGGGCATTTAAAAGGTCCCTCATTAATGTGAGGTAATTTATGGGACAACAAGTCCCTGGAAGTTTTAAAGCATTTCCATGGTCTGGGCATTTAAAAGGTCTGTCTGCAGTATGAACACATTGATGGCATAGCAGTCCCGGAACTTTTACAGCACTTTCCGCAGTCCAGGCATTGAAAAGATCTCTCCTCAGTGTGAATGAGCTGGTGTTGCAGCTGGTTAAATGACTGAATGAATCCCTTCCCACACACTGAGCAGGTGAATGGCCTGTTACTGGTGAAACTGCGTCGATGAGTTTCCATCTCTGGTGGGGAAATGAATTCCTCCGCACAATCGCCACATTTTCACTGTTTCTTCCCATTGTGACTGCATTTGTGGTTTGTGAAGCCTGATGATCGGCTGAAGCCTTGTCCACACACATAACACGTGTACGGTTTCTATCCAGGGCTGTTGCCTTCCATGTTCAAAATCGGATCACGTTCCATTTGTGATAGAACAGGCAACTCCATCAGATCATGTTATAATGGTTGGTTTGTGAATCTTCCCCTTCTAATATCCTGTGAAATTGATGTTAAACAAACAACAATAGAGTGAGAGAGAATGTCTCACAAGACTCTGGCTTCTATGTG